CCCCGCGGCGCGGGCAGGAGGCGGCGGCTCCGCACCGGGCCGTAACGGCAGCACCGAGGAGGGTCTGTCCGGCCGGACACACGGACACACGGCCGTGCCCGCTTCTCCACCCGCGCGTGCACCAGCCAATGCACACATGCACTCACGCATGCACCGACCCCTGCACCAGGCAATGCACACATGCACTAACGTACCCATGCACCAGCCAATGCACACATGCACTAACGCATGCACCGACCCCTGCACCAGGCAATGCACACATGCACTAACGTACCCATGCACCAGCCAATGCACACATGCACTAACGCATGCACCGACCCCTGCACCAGGCAATGCACACATGCACTAACGTACCCATGCACCAGCCAATGCACACATGCACTAACCCACCCATGCACCGTGCGTGCCCCAGCCAGTGCACCTGTGCACTAACCCATGCCCTAGCCAATGCACCCGTCGTGCACCAGCCAATGCACACATGCACTAACCCATGCATTGTGCATGCACCAGCCAGTGCACTCGTGCACTAACCAACACATGCACCGTGCATGCACCAGCCAATGCACCCATGCACTAACCCATGCACCAGCCAATGCACCCATGCACTGACCCACCCATGCACTGTGCATGCACCAGCCAGTGCACCCATGCACTAACCCATGCACCGTGCATGCACCAGCCGATGCACTAACCCATGCACCAACCCATGCACCAGCCAAAGAACACATGCACTAACCCGTGCGTGCAGCAGCCAATGCACCCATCCATCTATGCAGGCACCATCTTGTTCAGCCACCCATGCAGGCACCCACCCATGCACCCGTGCATGCACCAGCCAATGCACCCACCCACTCACACAGGCACCAACCAATCAACTCACCCACCCACGTATTCACTAACCCACCCATGCCTGCATCAACCCACCCAGCCATCCAGGCATGCGCCAACCAACACACCCAGACATCCATGCAGGCACCAACCAAAGCGCCCATGCACCCACCCGTGCACATACCAACTTGTGTACCATGCATACACCCATGCATGCACCAGCCAATGCACCCACCCACGCACTAACCCACCCATGCACCCGTGCATGCACCAGCCAATGCACCCACCCACTCACACAGGCACCAACCAATCGACTCACCCACCACTCAATCCACCACTAACCCACCCATGCATGCAGCAACCCACCCAGCCATCCAGGCATGCACCAGCCAACACACGCAGACATCCATGCAGGCATCAACCAAAGCACCCATGCACCTACCCATGCATGCACCAGCTTGTGCACCCAACCGTGCACGCACTCACTCACCCACACATTGCCCACCCATGCACCCACCCATGCACCAGTCCACGCACCCATCCACCCACATGCCCACCCATCTATGCATCCCTCCATCCACCAGTCCACCCACATGCCCATATATCCATCCACCCATGCGTCCACCCACCTTCTTCCCTCTGCACTTGGACCTCGGTCATTATGTATGTATTTTATACAAACAACTGTGCCAACGTGTCTTGTCACCCGTGAGGTCTCCCCAAGCCACAGCCAGGCGCTGGGAACAAATCTGGTCAGGGCGAGCAATGGAAGGCAGCAGCTGGAGAAGTACAAGAACCAAACCCCCTACATCCCCAGGATTTCTGGTGCGTTACCGCCAGCAATTTGTGCCTGCCTCTGAAAGCATTTTCATATAGTGTTCCAGAAGAAAGATTAAGGTTGCCTTTAAGAAAGGGGCATATCTGTCCTTCCCTGTGCTAAATCAGGGGGCAGATGATGGTGTGTGCTCATGCACGATCATAAACCACCCCTGCCAGGAAACAGCAAGTACCGACAGCAGAGTCCTTTTTGGAGGCACCCGCAGCAGAAGATCCCTGTGAAGAAAAGACCTGAAGCCAGCTTGATCGATACAGCCCTGCATGGGAGAGGGACGATCTCATACTTAAAGATGTCGAATTAAATGTCATTCCTAGTTTCTTTGATGCACGTTTGCATTAAGACCCACTCCATATTGGTGGTGGTCAGTCTGGAGAAGAGAAAGTTCTGGGGAGACCTTATAAGCCCTTCCAGTACCTAAAAGGCCTACAGGAAAGCTGGGGACGGACTCTCTATCAGGAAGTGCAGTAACAGGATGAGGGGTAGCAGCTTTAAGCTGAGAGAGGGGAGATTTAGATTAGATAGAAATTCTTTCCTGTGAGGGTGGTGAGGCACTGGAACAGGTTGCCCAGAGAAGCTGTGGATGCCCCATCCCTGGAGGTGTTCAAGGCCAGGTTGGATGGGGCTTTGAGCAACCTGGTCTGGTGGGAGGTGTCCCTGCCCATGGCAGAGGGGGTTGGAACTAGATGATCTTTAAGGTCCCTCCTGACTCTGACCATTCTATGATTCTATGGCAGGAGCAGAGAGAATGGCTTGAAGATGAGGGTCTGCATTAGTGCTGCATGGGAAGGCCGTGCCGGGAGGGGCAAAGCGGAGCTCAGCCACGCACCTGAGGTCTAAACAGGTTTCTGCATGTACAAAACCCCCCTGCATTAAAACTACAACAGCAACAACAACAAAGAATCAGAAATGTGCCATTACCCATAATATTTGCTTCTACCTTATTTTCTTTACTTTCCCCTCAATCACTGCTCTACCTAATGCTGCGAGATGAAACAAGCTCCTTTTGGTCTTGACAGCACATGGGTGTTCAGTGTTTGCTGGGACAGCGAAGTGCCTGCTCTGGCCTCAAAACCTGGACACGGCAGCCGTGAGCAGCACCAGCACGAGAAGGGGCATCTCCTTGCTGGGAAGGTGACTGGGCCACAGACAAACACAGTCAGAAATAGGACACAGAGCTATTCAGAAACCATAGATCATAATTTCAAACCCATAAATGTGAAATTCAGACCCTGGCTGGTCAGAGCCACCCTGAGTGGGTGCCAGTGCTGAAGTTGCTCTGTTGCCCTTAGTTTCCATCGGTTTGCAGTGGGTTTTGTGGCCAGAAGCTGAAGTCAGTAGCCAGTGAAGGATGTTCAGGCTTCTGGAAAAAAACCCAACAAACCAACCCCCCCAAACCCTCAAACCAGATTAAAACTTTAACTCAAAAAAAACCCCAACAACTGGGGCTTAGATCTCACTGCAAAACTGAAGCCTTTCCCTGCATCAGAGTAGAAATAATGTGGGACGAGGCAGTGAAGGTTTCCCTGCTGTAAGTCAGCATGAGTGATGCGTGTCTGTAAGGAAAGGTGTTGCATGTCACATCTTGGCACGGTACATATGGCTTCTGGCAGGGAGGAAAAAAAAGAAATCAAGCCTTTGCTGTTTCATCTTTAGTCTCAAGTGTGATTTGGAGGAAATTGTCTCAGTGAATTAGGAAAACGGGCTGACGACTGCCAAACTGCAGCGCTGGGAGAGGCACTGCACCTTTCCAAGAGCGTCGAGGGAGGGAGGCAGCAACAATCTCCCTGCGTCCCGCCTGGTGCCGGGAAAAGGTGTGGCTTTTGATGTTCAGTATCATGGAGTTGCTGAGACTCACACTGAAGGGAGGGGGACACATTCATTGGCATTGGAAAACCCCATCCTGTGTATGCCCAGAGAGCTCCAGACTTTGTGTCATGATGGTTGAAGCCAACAAGAAACCAGATACCTAACTTGGACGTTTGTTTCTCCAATAAAGTCAACCAAACTACCTGAAGAATGAACTTGACTATTTAATCCCTTCCACCTGAGCAATAGATGTGTATATGCTTACACCATACCCCAAAGCTTTTCAAAAAAGCTTCATTTTGCTTATGGCTGATTCTTACACATGATGGTACAAATCAGAAATACGGACCCTCAACTCATCGCAGCTGCGCTGAGCTAGAGTTGACACAAATGAGGACAAAAAATGCAAAACATTCTTTTCCCAGAAAAATGAGAGCCTAGGATTATTAATTTTTTAAACTTTTCTACACTATTTGTTTAAAAGTCAATAATTTTAAACTAAAACCGAATCGATGGCACCAAACATTATGGCCTGAGTTTCACTCTAATATTGTAATAAATAGAAATAAGCCCCTACAAATTTTAGATGAAATCAAGCAGCTGCAGTGACTGAAGTATTTGCTGAACCATCTGGATCAGGAGGTTCTCGAGACTCCAGGTCCATTACATACAGACCTGTTTCTCCCAGGGATGCACTGAAAGATGTTCTTTCCTTATCTTTGCTCAAATTTGAGAAAAGCCACTGGGGATTGAAACCAAAGAGAGAACAGGCGGTTGCACTTTTCCCTGTATGCGTCTTTATAGGGATTTGGTGATTAGAAATAGCCCAGCCTGCTGTCAGGACGTAATATTTCCCATGTTCAAAATGTCCATTGCAAATGCAGAATAAGTTTTGATAACGGTACTCTTCCCTTTACCCCATCTGTCCATCATATTTAAGATTATAATGTAATTTAAATTAAAGCACAGTCACTAATGTATGTTTCTTACTCTGCTCTGCAGTGCACCTTGACAGAAATTAACATTAAAATTAGTCATGTAGTAGAGGTGTCAGTCATCAGTTTGGCACATAAAATGAAAAATGTTAAGTAACCTCAGACTTAACAGGCAGATTCTTAAATAAATATGGTAATAGCATATCCTGATCATAAGTTAAAAAAGAGCATTAGGCTCCAGTGAGAAAGTATCAGTTGTTCCTTAGAAAAATAATTAAAAAGTACAAATGAAGAAGATTAATTTAAATAATCAATTTTGTGTTTCCTGCTAGCTGATTTAAATCATGATGAAAATTGTTGATTAAAGCCCCTCATTTAAATCAGTGCCCCTTAATGAGAGTGCATGCCTATGAACGTAAGCCCGTAATAGTAATAAAAGACTCACAAGAATACTTCCAGCCCTGGAAGAACAGTGTCCTTCCTTTGCGAAAAGAAATACATCTCACCAAGCTAAGCAATTTTTCTCCCTTAAGCTCTTGACCTTGTAAAAATAGGAGGAACAGGGCAATAAGTTGTAGGATAT